TAGGGTTATCAGATAACCCTAAGGCAGTCATGGGCATGCACTCCTGCCACAGCCCTTCCCAAGCTGGCTGTGTATGAGGCACATGGGGCAGTTTCACCCAGCTGATGCTCTGGCAGCCCTGCACCATGGAACAGCTCACAAGGGTCTTGCGACACCTCAGTTGAGAGCCATTAGACTAGACAGTAGCTCAGGGCAGGGTCATGGGGACCAGAGAACTCTGCTGTCCATGGAGGACTGTTCACTGTAGCTCAGCAGCTGGATATCAACTTGAGCAGGCAGCCTGCTACAACAAAGCCAAAGCTTTGAGGCAACATGCACAGAGCGAGTCTGACTCTTACCAGCAAACTTCCACACAAGACAATAACCAGAGGCAACAGTCCAAGCCACACTGGGCCACATTTCATATGAGACAGCGACAGACTCAGGACGGTAGTGGAGACAAAACCAAAGACAACCACGGAATAGTTGCAGACAAATGCTACTTGCAGACAAACAGGGCGCTGGCTAGAAACCAGGAAGGTATAGAAAGAATATCAACCTTTAGCTATATGAGCTATTTGAGCAATCAGATGACCAACAGTATATCATCCAATGGACCGAAGACAGAACAAGTATGTAAACAAATGCTCCACATACGGCAACACCAAAACCAAGATGTGACAGATTGGATGAAAGAGCAGAATCATTTAAAGAGTCCTGATACCTGAAAGGCTACAGTGGGCTGGCATTAAAGACATGTCCCTATAGCAAGCTGAACATTAATAACCTCTGTTGCTGGCGAATCTTCAAATGTTGGCATCAGCACAACAAAAAGAATTGAAAGGAAGATGTAGCAATCTGCATGGAGCATAGAGGAAACAGGACAGGTTACAGTGAGGAGAGAGTTTGACTGAGGCACCAGGAAGTCAGTCAGGCTATATATGGCTGGAATCCTAGCACAGCTGTCAATAGTTCTGTTAATAAAAATTGGTGTTATCAATCAGCATCCAGTATGCAAAACAAACTAAATTAAAAAACACAGAGAGGTTAATGAAAATGAAGCTAAATCAGTATTAGGTTTATTTTCTAGAAGAGTTTTCTTAGCTCCTATCTGTGGT